TAACTTCCCCCCCTCAGTGGTCGAGAACGCCCTCAACCGTGTCTCCCACATCTCCCGCAACTCATCCCTCACACCCTGTCCACGCAATAAGAACCAAAACAGAATCCCCCTCGTCCTCACGTATCACCCCACCAACCTCCGGATCCAACGCATTATCCTCCGACAGTTCCGCCATCTGCAATCCGACCCCACCACCAAAGACATCTTTCCCTCCCCACCCTTATCTGCTTTCCGGAGGGACCACTCTCTCCGTGACTCCCTTGTCCGCTCCACACTCCCCTCCAGCAACACCACACTCGGCACTTTTCCCTGCAACCGCAGGAAGTGCTACACCTGCTCCCATACCTCCTCCCTCACCCCCATCCCAGGCCTCAAGAAGACTTTCCACATCAAGCAGATGTTCACCTGCACATCTGCCAATGTGGTATACTGCATCCGCTGTACCTGTTGTGGCCTTCTCTACATCGGGGAAACCAAGCGGAGGCTCGGGGACCGCTTTGCAGAACACCTACGCTCGGTTCGCAATAAACAACTGCACCTCCCAGTCGCGAACCATTTCAACTCCCCCTCCCATTCCTCAGACGACATGTCCATCCTGGGCCTCCTGCAGTGCCACAACGATGCCACCCGAAGGTTGCAGGAACAGCAACTCATATTCCGCTTGGGAACCCTGCAGCCCAATGGTATCAATGTGGATTTCACAAGCTTCAAAATCTCCCCTCTCCTACCGCACCCCAAAACCAGTCCAGCTCATCCCCGCCTCCCTAACCTATTCTTCCTCCCACCTATCTCCTCCTCTCACCTCATGCCGCACCCCCATCTCCTAATGACCAACCTCATCCCGCCCCCTTGACCTGTCCGTCCTCCCTGGACTGACCTATCCTCCCCCTAACTCCCCACCTACACCCCACCTTTACTGGCCCCATCCCCGCCTCTTCAACCTGTTTGTTTCCTCTCCACCTATCCTCTCCTCTATCCCTCTTCTATCCGCCTCCCACTCTCTCCCTATTTATTTCAAAACCCCCTTCCCCTCCCCCTTTTCTGATGAAGGGTCTAGGCCTGAAACGTCAGCCTTTCTGCTCCTATGATGCTGCTTGGCCTGCTGTGTTCATCCAGCCCTGCACCAGTTCTCTAGGTTCTCCAGTTCTAAGGAAAAGTCTCTGGATTCAAAACATTACCTCTGTTTCTCTCTCCACAGATGCTTGCTGACTTTCTCCAGCAATTTCTGCTTTTGTTTGAGACACTTCTCTAGTCAGTTCCTCAGTACACTGATCTGCAAATCCATCTCATTTATTTTCCAGGAATCCACCTTCAAAAGTATTAGTAATGATTAGCTTTACCCAGGTTACAGCATCATTGAAGTCCCTGTGATTACCGTATTATCCTGTTAGGTGCGCCTCTCATTTCTTGATTTTATACAAGGCTCTAGTCTTTCACTTTGGTTTGGTCTATAAACAACACAGATCAACATTTGCTGCCTGTTGCTATTTGTTAGCACTGCCCATACTGATTCTACATCTGGATGATCTCATCTAAGATACTTTCTTTCTCTTTACTGATCTCACCCATTATCACCAACGCTACCCTTTTTGCTTCTTCTTCCTAAATATTGAGTACCTTTGAATGTTTAGTTCCTCATTTTGGTCACCCTGCAGTTTCATCTCTGATATAGCTCTCTATTAGTGGCATCAATTCACCAGTCCTGTTGCAAACACGTAGGGTCATGGAGATCTACAGCACAGAATAAGGCCCTTTCAGCCTACCAAGTGTACTGGTCAAAAACAACCTTTTTGATAATCCCATTGCCCAGCTCTTGGCCCATAGCCTTGTGTACTTTGGCATCACAAGTTCACATCTAAATATGAAGAAGGGTCCAGACCCGAAACGTCAGCCTTCCTGCTCCTCTGATGCTGCTTGGCCTGCTGTGTTCATCCAGCTCTACACCTTGTTATCTCAGATTCTCCAGCATCGGCAGTTCCTACTATCTCTAAATACTTCTTCAGTTATGATGAGGGTTTCTGCCTCTCCCTCCCATATAGGCAGCGAGTTCCAGATTCCCCACCACCCTCTGGGTGAAAATGTTTTTCCTCACATCCCTTTCCAAACCTCCTGCCCCTTACCTTAAATCTATGCCCCTGCTCATTGATCCCTCCATCAAGGGGAAAAGCTTCTTCCTGTCTATGCCCTTCATCATTTTATACATTGTGCAATAAAGTATCCAATAAAGTGTCATTAATTCTTTTTATTTTACTATTTTCACCATCTTAATGCTGCCTCATTCCTTAAGTTTGATCTTTCCTGTTAAACTCAGATCTCAATTCGTTAATTGCTGCCTTGCTCTTTTCTCTTGTTCTTTCTCTTTATCATATCTCACATGATCCCTCCTTCCCAGTGTTAGGCTAAAAAAACTCTCTCTACACCCTTGTTGTGCAACTCACCAGGACACTGCTCTGGATGAGGATAGTAACTCCCAATTTCCCCAAAAACACTGCCAGCGCCTCCTGAACTTAAACCAAATTTCTCCCACATCAACTTTTGAGTCACACATTGTAATCTTATCCACCTTATAACCAAATTGATCATGCCCATAGAGTCATACAGTACAGGCTGTTTGGCCCATCAGGTCTGTGACACCCTATCGCACACTAACCCCACTTTCCACTGGAGAGGATTGAAGTGGAATGGATTGAATTGGGCTGTCTTGAGTGAACGGGACTGGACTGGACTGAAGTGGAGTGGAAACAAAAGTAGAAATTGCTGGAAAAGCTCAGCAGGTCTGGCAGCATCTGTGGAGAGAAATCAGAGTTAAAGTTTCGAGTCACAGTTTCAGAACACAGTTCTGAGGAAGGGCCACTGGACCCGGAACGTTAACTTTGATTTCTCTCCACAGGTGCTGCCAGACCTGCTGAGCTTTTCCAGCAATTTCTACTTTTGTTTCTGATTTACAGCATCCGCAGTTCCGTTGGTTTTTATTTAGTTGTGAAGTCGGGGTGGGGAGTAGACTGAAGTGCAGTTCTCTGGACAGGGTTGTACTGGAGTGGACCAAACCAGACTGGACTGGACCGGATCGGAGTATTTGCCTTTTTTAGATGCTGCTTGCTGTCTGCTTGTGGGTCTTCTTCTCTCCCACTCTGTTAACATGACTGACGATTAAATCGCTTTCTAAAAGAAAACCCAAAGAACTGAGGATATTGGAACAGCAATGTGCTGAAGGAGGGTCATTGGACCTGAAATTTTAACTCTGATTTCTCTCCACAGATGCTGCCAGACCTGCTGAGTTTATCCAGCGATTAAACCCCTTTCTTTACTTTTCTTAAAGTTTCCTTTAGGGAAGGAAACTGCCATCCTGACCTGGTCTGGCCTACATGTGACTCCAGACCCACAGCAATGTGGTTAACTCTGAACTGCCCTCTGGGCAATTAGGGATGGGCAATAAATGCTGCTTAGCCAGTGACTCCCTCATCCCGTGAATGAATTTTTAAAAAAAACTTCATCGTTTTGAACCATGTGTGTGAGATTTTTAGGAAGATATTGCGAAGTGGGCTCAAGGTGAGCTCAGGAGAGGATGTCCATCATGAATGTCCCATTTGTCCTGTTGTCCTCAGTGCCATACAAGTTCTTCACAGACCACGGTGGGATCAATGAGAAACGGAAACAGCGGAGAATCCGCACCACGTTCACCAGCTCTCAGTTGAAGGAGTTGGAGCGAGTCTTTGCTGAGACTCATTACCCAGATATCTACACCAGGGAGGAGCTCGCACTGAAGATTGACCTGACAGAGGCCAGGGTCCAGGTAGGAGAGCTTTCCAAATTCACTCCATCAGTTGGGTTTCTCACCCGAGGGCAGTGGGTATTTGCCCTGCTCTGAGTCACAAGGCTGTGGCTTCAAACCCCAACCCATCTGCTCGCAGAAAAAGACCCCGAGCTACCTGTTGCCTGCCACTTTAACGCACCACCCTGCTCCCTGGCCATTATCTCTGTCTCTGGCTTGCTGCAGTGTTCCGGCAAAGCTCAACGCAAGCTGGAGGAAGAACACCTCATTTTCCACTTGGGGACCCTGCAGCCCTCTGGACTCAATGTTGAGTTCAATAATCTTAGGGCCTAAACTCTCCCATGTCCCAGCCCCCCACCCCACACACCAGGCCTAGTTACCACATGGGTTGCTACCACAGACAGTCCATTGTCATTCAGTAGTGGCCCCCATTAGCAGCTACTCAGCCTCCCAGGCTGACTGCTACCCATTGCTTTGTCTGCCCAACTGTTTTCCTCTCTCTTTGGGCTGCATTTCCACCTATCGTTTACTCCTTATCCCCTCTCCTGCCTTAGCACATTTACCAACCTTTACCTCGCTACAGCCGGTTCTGGAGAAGGGTCACTGGACCCGAAACGTTAACTCTGTTTTCTCTCCACAGGTGCTGCTAGACCTGCTGAGTTTTTCCGGCAATTTCTGGTTTTGTCCTTGAATGTTGTGACATTTCACATGCTCATCCAAGTCCTTTCTCCTCCTCCCAGGCAGCGCATTCCAGACTCCCACCATCCTCTAATCCCCTCTAAACCTCGTGCCTTTCACTTTAAAACTGTGCCCCCTTGTTAGCGACCCTTCATCCTAGGGGAATAGCCACATTCTACCCACACTATCCATGTCCCTCACAATCTTATACACCTCAATCAACCTTGTCTGCTCCAAGGAAAATACCCTGAGCTTATCCAGCCTCTCTTTATCACTGAAATGCTCCATCCCAGGCAGCATCATGGTGAAACACCCTGACATCAGCTTGAACTGCCTGTCTCCTGCGCCCTCCCCCCCACCCTCGACAGGGGTGATGGTGACTTGGTGTTGATGCTGCTGGACTGTAATCCTGAGGATCTGGCTAACACTGTCCAGCCATGGGTTCAAATCCCACCAGAGAAGCTGCTGCAATTAACAAATCAGGAACAGAAAGGTACTCTTAGTGACGGTGACCAGGAAATTGTCATTGAATGGTATAAAATCTCATCTTGGTTCACTCATGTCCTTCAGGGAAGGAAATCTGCCATCCTCACCCAGTCTGACCTACATGAAACTCTGTCAATTTGGCTGGAGGAAAGCCTGCTAAGAACAAGCTACTCATTTCTCATCTCTGAGGTGCAAACCCTCTTGTTGAGTTCAGGGTGAAATCTATTTGTTTCGTTGAAGAAACATCTTAATGAGTTTATGTGTGTATGAGAGTTTGTGTTTCATTTTTTTCCCTTTATTCATTCAAGGGATGAGGGCATCACTGACCACGCAGCATTTATTGCCCATCCCTAATTGCCCAGAGGGCAATTGAGAGTCAGTCACATTGCTGTGGGTCTGGAGTCACATGTAGGCCAGACCAGGTAAGGATGGCAGTTTCCTTTCCTGAAGGACATTAGTGAACCTGATGGGTTTTTCCGACAATCAACAATGGATTCATGGTCACCATTAGATTCTTAATTCCAGATATTTTATTGAATTCAAATTCCACCATCTGCCATGGCAGGATTCGAGCCCGGGTCCCCAGAACGTTATCTGGATTAACAGTCTAGCAATAAAACCGCTAGGCCATTGCCAGGCCTAGTGTAAGAACAAGTGAGTGTGTGTGTGAGAGTGACCGTGTGAGAGTGAGAATGTGAGTGTGTGTGTTGTGGATATTTCGAGGGATAAGCATGAATGCTTCTATTATTACCTGTGTACGTTATTAATTATTGCACTTTTCTGGAATAAGTTTTGTTTTGATAATAATCCAAAAGTTGTGTTGATTGTGAAACCTGACTGAGGGGTCTCTTGTTATGAATAAGGTATTTAATTGGTGGTCACAGGAAGTGGAAAAAGTATTTTTATTTGATGTTGGGACTTGTGGGACAAGAGAGACTGTGCTCTCCTCCAGTCCCAGTTCTAACAATTGACATTGTTCTCGGTCTCTGAACCAAAAGCTGTGATACAGAGTTGATCGCACAGCAATGTAACCCCAGCTGGTACCTGCCAGCATTAACCATTCACAGAGCCCCATCCAACTCCTCTCACCTGGTCAGTGTCTCCTTCCATTTCTTCCTCCCCTGTGCATTTACCTAGACTCCCCTTAAATGTTCACATCAACCTGTGGGAGCAAATTCCACATTCTCGTTCCTCTCCAGGTAAGGTTTCTCCAAGATTCCTGATTGGGTTAATTTGTGACTGTCTGATGGCCCCAGACTTGTCCTGATCTCGTACAACTAGGAACATTCTCTCCACATCTATCCTGTGAACCTCTGTAATGATAACAATCTCTCTCTGGCCATACCTTCTCGTGCTGTTAAAACCCTTTCCCCTCCTGCGCTCACTGACCTACATCGATGGTAGCTATGATGTGGAGGTGCTGGTGTTGGACTGAGGTGGGTGGACAAACTCAGAAATTACACAACATCAGGTGATTGTCCAACAGGTTTATTTGAAATCACAAGCTTTTGGTGGGTAGCAGTGCTCCGAAAGCTTGTGGTTTCAAATAAACCTGTTGCACTATAACCTGGTGGTCGTGCAATTTCTGACTTTGACCGACATCGATTCTCAGTCAAGCAACTTCTCGATTTTAGAATTCTCATCCTTGTTTTCAAATGCCTCTGAGATTCTGCATCTCCTCCAGGCCCAGAGACCCTTTGAGATCTCTATGCTCTCCCTTCTCGTTCTGATTTAAACCAATCCACCATTGTTAGTTGTGTCTTCAGCTGTGTGCATTCTGAGCTCTGGCCATCCCTTCCCTCAACCTTTCCGTTCTCTCTCCCTCCTCCATTCAGAGGCTCCCATTCAAGTTATTGTTGCCCTTCACAAATAACTCCTGATCCGTCTCCTTCTCAACGTTCTCTTTAATTTTGTGAAGCTCCCCGGGACATTTGGTGCAATTGGCATTGATAGGGAACCAGCCCCATCCACGTCTCATGAACAGATAAGAAAAAAGTATTGCTGTGGGTCTGGAGTTAGGTGTTGGCCAGACAGGAGTAAGGATGGCAGATTTCCTTCCCTGAAGGGCATTAATGAGGACAGCTTTGAATGTCGAGTTATGAAGATCAAGGGGTGATCTGATGGCAGTGGTGTTGCTCTGTGGGGCATGACTGTTTATATTTCTAATTCCTGATGGATTTCTCTCACCCTCACACCCCCACCTTCTCAATTCCAGGTCTGGTTCCAGAACCGCCGAGCAAAATTTCGCAAACAGGAGAGAGCTGCTAACTCAAAAGGGAATGGCAGCAATCCGCCTGGGAAGAAGGGTGACCTTGTGTCTGAGGAGGACGACTCGAAGGAGCCCAAATGCACTGACCCGGACAGCACAGCCAACCCCGGCTGCCCCCCCTCCACCTCTAGCTCTTCCAGCTCCTCCTCCTCCACCCCCTCAGGGCCTATCTCCAGTAGCAGCCCCCATGCAGTCAACTTGCCCAGTCCCAATGGCTCCCAGTCCCTCAAAGCAGCAGCTGCCTGGCCCAACAATGAGTTGCTGAAGGCCCAGACCTGGCAGCCCAGTGATAGTATGAGCGGCCCCTTTGCTGGTGTGCTCTCTACCCTGCACAGAAAATCCAACATGCTCAAGCCTAACCTGTTCTAGACAGAGAGAGAAGGAAGTACAGCTCAGACCAGGAATCCCACTCCCAGACCCATTCCCCATTATCCATTCCCCATTCCCCACCCCACATCCCCTCTTCCCTGTCTCCTGTCTCCCACCCCCACCCCGTTCCCCATTCCCCTCCTCCATTCCCCATTCTAAACCCCCTATCCTCCTACCTTTCCCTCCTGTGCAAGGTCATTCACAACTTGGGCACGGGTACAGTCATTGCCCTCACAACATGGTCCCCTCCCCCATCCGAGTCCCCTGTCCTTGTCTCCTGTTGTACTGAAGCCTCATCCTGTAGGCCCCACAGCAGCTGCCCCCCCAACCCCCACTACCCCAGGTCAATCACTCAGTGAAGAGCCTCAGTCCCTCATTAGTTGCTCAGAGCCCGGGCCTGGGGCTGTACTGTCACTGTGAGCCCTCCCTTCACTAGTTCCTGCCACAATATCTCTCTCTCTCCCTCCCTATCCCTGTCTGAAGGGTTTGCAAGGAAACAGCAGATTTTGGGAAGGATTTCATGAAATCCCTACAGTGTGGAAACAGGCCATTCAGCACAACGGGTCCACACTGATCCTCAGACCCACCCCCTTACCTTATCACTGTAACCTTGCATTTCCCAAGGCCAATCCACCCTAATCTGTACATCTTTGGATGTGGGAGGAAACCGGAGCACCCGGAGGAAACCCACGCAGACATGGGGAGAATGTGCAAACTCCACACAGACAGTCACCCGAGGGTGGAATCAAACCTGGGTCCCTGGCGCTGTGAGGCAGCAGTGCTAACCACTGAGCCACCATGAAGCCCTGACATCTCACAAAAAGATCACATCAGGCTCAGCCGGAGGGTGAGGGCTATTGAACTGTGGGAGGAAGCAGCTGAACCCATCCCTGTCCCAACCCAAAATGCACAGCAACAGTAAGTGGAGGGGTCGTAGGTCAGGGCCACTTGGGATGGGGGGCAGGAAAGGGCTGAGGGTGGGGATGAACTCAGAACAGATTTGGAGGGAATCATTTCCCACCTTCTTCCTGTTCAGCATTTGGACTCTCAGACCCTGAGCCCGAGGGATTGGCTGTTGATGCAGCTCCTATCTGTCACGCTGTGTGTAGGAGAACAAGAAACCTCAATAGCCCCGATTTCAAACTGCCCTCTCCACCAAAACCTCAAGGATTGGGCTCCACTGTCATTCCTCATGCAGTTCAATAGCTGGGCAGCACTCACCACCTTGGTTAAAGGAATCACGACTTCAGGAGGTGAATGAAAGGTCACCAGGGGTTTGTGGAGCTGGTCCTGAGGCACAAGAAGCAGTGGGAGAGAGGATAAAACCACAAGGGTTTGAAATTCCACATCTACCTTCCGGAAGTGGCTGATAGTTGAAGAGAGCCCTCGAAACCCAGTGGTGGCGTTCCCAACGAGATTTGTGATTTTTAAAAATAATTTATTCGCAAATGTATATGAATTAATTTATGTTGATAGTTAAATTCCCTTTCACGTGTAACTGGTGAAAGGCTGTGTTCCCATTGTATAATACTTTAACCCTAACCATTCCAAAGCAATCAAAGGGAGAGCTATCCCCTGGGACACAACTCACTGCCTCAGACACAAGTCAATATTGTGCTACATCAGGGAGATATCTGTACACTGACTGGTGTCTCTCAGTAACTCCCGCTCTCTCTCTCAGGGTGATATCTGTACACTGACTGGTGTCTCTCAGTCCCCTCTCTCTCAGTGAGATATCTGTACACTGACTGGTGTCTCTCAGTAACTCCCACCCTCTCTCTCAGTCCCCTCTCTCTCAGGGACATATCTGTACACTGACTAGTGTCTCTCAGTAACTCCCACCCTCTCTCTCAGTCCCCTCTCTCTCAGGGACATATCTGTACACTGACTAGTGTCTCTCAGTCCCCTCTCTATCTAGGACATATCTGTACACTGACTGGTGTCTCTCAGTCCCCCCTCTCTCTCTCAGGGAGATGTCTGTACACTGACTGGTGTCTCTCAGTCCCCTCTCTCTCTCTCAGGGAGATATCTGTACACTGACTGGTGTCTCTCAGTCCCCCCTCTCTCTCTCCCACGGAGATATCGGTACACAGACTGGTGTCTCTCAGTCCCCTCTCTCTCAGGGAGATAGCTGTACACTGACTGGTGTCTCTCAGTCCCCTCTCTCTCTCGGGAGATATCTGTACACTGACTGGTGTCTCTCAGTCCCTCCTCTCTCTCTCAATGAGATATCTGTACACTGACTGGTGTCTCTCAGTCCCCTCTCTCTCAGGGAGATATCTGTATACTGACTGGAGTCTCTCAGTGTCCTGTCTCACTCTCAAGGAGATATCTGTACACTGACTGGTGTCTCTCAGTCCCCTCTCTCTCAGGGAGATATCTGTACACTGACTAGTGTCTCTCAGTCCCCTCTCTCTCAGGGAGATATCTGAACACCGCATCTCCTCTTTTGAATGGGACACTGATTATTTACTTGAGTTGCAGATATACATGTTCTATTTGATTGCGATTGGATATGGGTGTAGTCCTCAGCATGTATTAGGGTAATTCTGGAGTTCCAACTGAAAACAATACTACTTAAATATTGTATTATTAAGTATGAAGTGTACATAAGTTGATAGAACTGTTATAAATACTGTCTGAGGGTCTAGACACTCCCTTTGTGACTTTCGCAGATGTAACACTCTAATGTGCAAAGAATTGGTGGGGCTTGTAATCCAGTTGTTACTTTTGACTTTTTGGATCAATCTGTTGAGTACTGGACCATTTCTGTGATTTACCCATTTTCTCTTTAGTCTGGCAAGCCATTGGGTTGTGGTAGGCCCATCCCAGTGAAGCTGGTTGCTATGGCAAACTGCCACACTGTTGGTTAGATTCACTGCAATAGGGCCTGCACTGACACATGGCCCTGTGCTAAACTAATTATGGCCTGCAGTGAGATTTGTTGCCACGTTAAACTAACCAGGCCCCGGATTGAAGGCCAGTTGCTATGGAACCTAACCTAAAGCCTGCGTACCTTCCTCTTTGGTCGTCTCTTCTGTCTTGTGAAAATATATAACCTGAAACTCTGATCCAATCAATAAGATTGAAACCATTCCCACCTGGGGAAAAGTTCCACAATGACCACAAACAGTCAGCTGTCCAACCTACAGAGGGTGTAACAGAAAAACTGAACAAATCCAATGGTATCCCAACACTGACTGTATCTGTGGTGGGTGGTCATGAGCTCTGAGTTATCTCTCAATTAAATATCTTTTAACTAAAAAGAACCAGCCCAGATTTACACTGAGAACAAGCAAGGCCACATTATACAATCACTTCCAAATCATCCTTAAGCATTGGTTAAGGAGGCCATTCAGCCCCACTCTCCTGTTTCCTCACTCAATTTGACCCGCATTGTAATTCCATTTTACCTGACACTCGAGATTAGTCTGATCAGACCCAGTGCTACAATGAATTGTTACTCAAAAACAGCCTTGTGTACATGAGCATTGTGTTAAATCTTGTGAATGAATTTGTCAATCTATCGATAAATGATTCAACTGTGCACAGCTGGCTAGAGTTTGAAATAAAATAACCCTTTGCTGTACAGCTTCAAGGTGGGTTTTTTTGTTTGGCAAGAGCAGGGGTTACCCACTCTTAAAAGGAACAAGAATAGACAGGAAGGGTTCTGTTCTGAGGAAGGGTCACTCGACCCGAAATGTTAACTCTGATTTCTCTCCACAGAAGCTGCCAGACCTGCTGAGCTTTACCAGCAATTTCTGTTTTTGTTTCTGATTTACATCATCCACAGTTCTTTCAGTTTTTATTAAGATCAGGCATGGATTTAAAGTGATTTCCTTATTGTCTATTGTTAACTCCCCTTTCTCCATCTCTAGAGTACCAACACTTTACTTACTCCTTCCATTGTTAAATACCTGTCAAAACTCATGCTATCCTGATTTTACATTCCTAGCCAGCTTTCTCTCATGATTAACCTCTTAGTCATCATCTGCTGTTCTTCACATTCTGATATTTATCTGATCTGCCACTCCTCTTTGAAGTCACATGTTTTCTCCTTTAATACTTCCCCCAACTCCTTTAGTTAACCAGGTTCCTCCCTTCATATATTTTCTTTAAACTGCAAATATACCTATGCGCTGAGGTTTATGAGTTATTCTTTGAAATGTCTGCCACTGTATCTCTATTAAACTACCCCTATCCTAGTTTGCCAGTTCAGTTTGGCCAGCTCAGATTTCATGCCTCCATATATGCCCTTATTTTAGGTTTACAATACTTGACTTAGACCGAATCTTCTCCCTTTCAAATGGAAAATAAAATTCATTCATATCATGGTTGCTGCTACTTAGGGGTACCTTAACTGTGAAGTCATTAATTAATCCTTGCACATTTCACAATATCAAATCTAGCATAACCTGACTCTTTTGTCAATTCCCTGAGGTGCTGCTCTAAGAAACCATCTTGGAAGCTTCCAATGAACTCCTCATCCAGCCTACTCCAACAAATCTGAATTGTTCAGTTTGTCTGCAGCATAAAGTCACATATGATTATTGCTGAGATAACAAGGTGTAGAGCTGGATGAACACAGCAGGCCAAGCAGCATCAGAGGAGCAGGAAAGCTGACGTTTTGGGTCTGGACTCTTCTTCAGAAATTATTATTGCTGTCCCTTTAATGCAAGCACCCAATATTTCTATTTTCACACATTTTCCCACTTTGTGGAGTGATATGCTTTACTGTTGTAAATCAAGGGGCTTGTAGACCATGCCAACTAGTAACTTCTTTCCCATACTCTTCCTCATCACTATCCAAACTGATTCTACATCTTGGTCTCCTGATCCAAGGTCATCTATAACTATTGCAAAATGCCATCCTCCACTGATAGCTACCTTTGTATTTTCTTGAATGTCGTATAGCCCTCTATGTTCAGGATCTGATCCTTATCATCCTGCAGCCATGTCCCAGTAGAGACTATCAGATCATGTTTGCTATCAATTTATTC